CCCCAAAACCCCAAAACCCCAAAACCCCAAAACCCCAAAACCCCGAGGGACATCTAAATAATTGAGATGTTATCCAAATTTTACAAAATTGGTGTCGACTCACATTCTTAGAATAAGGGGTAGAACAGTTGCACTTTTGGGCCGTTGGCTTCAATATTTTTCTGACAAAAGTTGGAGAAGGCCCGATCGTCCGCAAGTTGCTCTGAATATTTGTTATACAGAGTATTGTACCAATTCGCCACCTTAGGGAATGTAGAAAAGTCTATCTTTTCGAAGAAGTCTTCTTTGAGAGCAGTGTGTTCTAGAGCAAACAGGTCTCTGAAGAATGGTAGAATCATCAAATCCACCATTGTTTCTTGAGTAGTCTCTTGAATGAATGGCTTTGACTCATCATCAGGGAGATTTTGCTCGGCCCAATCAAGAGCTTCTAAGATTTCTTTTGGTCCTTTATTTCTTATTTCATGGCTGACATATACTAATATGAAAAGAGCAACATTTTTGAACCATTTATCTATGATTTCTTTGGCATGAGGCTTTGAATCTTCTCCATCAAGATAAAGCTGGATGCCTTTGTCAGAATATTTCTGTTCAATCCAGTCGCAGACATCCAACGAATCGTGGACCAGGGTCCCGTCAGGATGCTCCAGCACTGGGACTAGACCCTTGTTGATATCATAATGCCAACTATTTCTGGTAGTAAGATCCACTGAAACAAATTGGAATTCAACTTGTTTGGCTGTAAGTACAAGAAGAACTCTCTGAACGAAAGGACATAGATGGTGCCCATATAGCCTGACATAGTTTGAGTTGTGCACAGGCTTAGCAGTTATTCCATTCGGAATAATCATCTCTTGCTTCGATTGAGATATTTCAAGTGGAGTCACATCAAGAGGATATGGGAGCTTTATTGAATTATCAGACTGTTTCTTTATGAGATAATTAATATATTCCCACTTTGTCACATATGAATCTTTAAAAACTGGATGTTGAAGAATGTTCTCAACATACTTGACAATATTTGGATATGTCTCAAGGCTAAAAACTTTTAAAGTTTCAAAGCTTCCTTGAAGGGTAAAATAAAATCTGACTAAAATTGGAGATAAAACAATGTCAGCCATTCCTGGTTCCTTCTGGTTTAGGAAAAATGAGCTATCATCAGTATTTAGGGATAGGTCTTCTTCGAGTTCTTGAAGTCTTTTTGTAAGAACTTCGATGTCTTCTTGCTTACCCCAAATAGAAGCCTTAAAAGAAGCAAAGAGAAATCCTTCATCTCTCTTTTTGATGTATCTCCTAACTTTAGCACTTTCGAAAGCATCTTTTGGAAGTAACTGAATGCCTCTATCAGAATAATCCATAGCAAATTGGACTAGGACGTCACTTTCTTGGATAAATTCTCCGTCTGTTGATTCTAGCAGAGGTACAAGTCCTCCTTCTTTGATAAACCACTCAGGCTTTGGACTCATATCGACGAATACAGTCTGGAAATCGATTTCCTTGGCTGCAAATGCAAGCCTAGCTCTTTCTGCAAAAGGGCAGATTGGATGGACATACAGCCTTAGCTTGTTTTTATTGGTCTCTAGTTTATCAGGGAACTGAGGACCTCCACTGACAATCAAGTTTTCCCCACTTTGGGTCTGTTCAAAGGTATATTCAACTGTATGTAACATTTTTAATTTAATTCTTTGAATCTATGCTAGCTTTTAAGGCTGGGGTTTTGGGGTTTTGGGGTTTTGGGGTTTTGGGG